ACCAATCAAGGCCATTTCAACATAACGAAACGAACATCGTCTTCCACAGCGCGAGTCGACATCGGAACGTAAGAGAAGAGTCTTATATCGTTATCTTACATCCTTGCGTGTCTTATATCGCTATATCGTTTTGCGCTCGTTGTCTTTACTCGACGGCTTAAATCAGATTTCTGATGCATCGCCTTGAGTGAAAGTCGCTGTATCGTCTTGCCGATAAAGGCGTTAAATCGATATGTCTCGATACATCGATTTATAGCCCAGTCCTAGTCACAAGTCATGTGGTTTCATGACGAAATGATTCTCAGACTTAAAGAAATACTGTTCAAGGATTGCTAAATCGTCTTAAGTGAGGAATTTAATTTTTGAGAATGTGCTGTAAGTGGAAAATTACTTGATGACGAAGAACAGTAATGCGTATTGTTTACATTTCATACTGAATGTTACACGTGTATTGATCAGAAGAGCATGTTAGAAAAGCATTGTCCCCAAATATGCCATTTTAAATTTCAACAACTTCATACCAAAGTGTAGTAAAACACCATAACTCTTGGATCTAATGTTTTTCTACACCAATATATTACTTGGAGCAAAGACCTTTTTTTATTCATTAAAACTAACATTTATAATTTTAGAGTCAGATAAGATGAAATAAGAGTCGTTAAAGTTATTTTTACAGTACAATATAAAGTGATTATTAATAATTAAGGTTAGTTTTTAAATTAACTATTATATTGGATTTTGAATTAGATTCAGGTTTTATATTAAGCTTTAAAATTAAATATTGAAGCAAAAGAAAAAAAATATATCAACTTATATTACGTGTTGAAAGATGCAATATTTTTTTCAATAAAAATAGTCTAGTAATTATTCGCTTCATATGATTTCTGGTTACACCAGCAAAGCATTCTTTCAATAGAAGATAAGATTGAATATTTTTTCTTTCATACTAATCTTTAAAGTAATCTTATATTTTATCAGAATAATAACCTCCTTCGACTGACTAATGACAGTGAAGTATAGAGTATTGGAAGAATTCGATTACTCTCTACTAACTCGCGAAACTAAAGAAAAGTGACATAATCCAGTAGTATTAAAGAATACGTGATTTGCTTTCCAACTTATAGAAAATTGGTGGATGATTCTATTTATTTCAGTTCTTAAAATAAATAAAAGGATAAAATAAAGCCAGGGAGCAGTTATATATATATATATTTGAAGTTCTTAATTCGAGAGTTCAAGAGTGAGTTCTTAATTTAATTTTATTTAATTGCACATCATCACTTTTTTTAATGTCAAAATATCTTTTATCATCACTTTCTCTTTTAATGTCAAAAATCTTAGTGGATCATAGTGACAATTATAGAGAGTTTAAAGAATGATCCAAATACACTTTTCCAGTTCACAGACAGTCGGCGAGTACATCTTTGAAAAGCTCTCACTTGGTTGGAATAATTTAGCAAATGAATACGTTAAGAACATTAAAAAGGACTTTGAGGTTAACCGGGTTCGAATCCCTGCTATAGTTGAACGATACAAATTCTGCATCCTGCTTGCACCAACCACAGTGCTGACGTGAAATATCCTCAGAGGTAAATGGATCATGGGTTAGAGTCCCCTTGCCGTCATGCAATCATGTCCATGTAACGCAAATGAGGGTTAGTTAAATCAAAAAGTACTCCACGAAGACAAATTTCTCTTAATACTTGATCCAGGAGTCCCCTTGTCTTCTGGATCGGGTTCAAAATGACAAGGCTACGGATTTGAACATTAGTCATAAACCCGCAAAATTGGGTCGACTTTTCAACTGCGGTTATAAAAAAACTAACTTAATAGTAAAAATTATGTGTAGCATTTAGAGCTGCTGTAGTTCAGGCGATGAAGCGCTCGTCTTCCATTTTGGTGAACCAGGCTCGAATATCAGCTTTAGATGGTCGATACGAATTTTGCTCAAGGCTCAAACCAATCACAGTGTTTGCATAAAATATCCTCAGTGGTAAATGGATCATAGGTTAGAATCTCATTCCTATCGAGCAAACTGTAAGATGTTTTCGTGGTTTTCCTCTCCATTTACCGCAAATGAATGCTCATTCCATCGAAAAATCCTCCACGAAGCTAGTTTGTCCTAGTGCTTGATCCAGGAGTTCCCCTGCCTTCCGGATTGGGTTCAAAATTGCAACACGACGGAGTTGATCGTAGATAATTGTAAACTCAGAGCTGCTCAACGCCGGTTATAAAATAAAATAATAATATTTATAATAAATATAGTAAATTTCAGATGAATAAGAAGTCATTATACCGTTTACTGTCAATATTGTAGTAACATTTACTTTAGCAAAATGTCTTAGAGTATATCTCGAGGGTATTCTGATTTTTTTTCATGGATTTCAGGAAACCGCAATAGATTCAATTCGTAAAATAATCATATAATTAGTGGTGAAAAAAGTAAATATGCATAAATAATTGCGTGTATAAAAATATTTTAAAAAAGTATCAGAGTCTCAAGCTATAGGAATTAAATATAAATAAATCAGCTAATAGGAAAGGCATTAAGCCTTTCTAATTAGCTGAATTAATCTACCATAGGAAAAAATTAGGAAATTAAGAGGTACTAAACTTTTAGTGCCGAAAAATTCCGTAATAATTGTATATTGTTTGGAAATAAAAGATGAGAAATAATTTATGCAAAATTAAAACTCTACATTGAAATATTTTTGTTCTTTTAGTAATAAAGCTCGTTTAGTTATATAAGTTTCAAGTACTAAAAATTAAGAAGTAAGCCAAATCATTACTTCCATAATAGCTAAGAAAAAACTAATAATCTAACATAGGAAATTATCAATTTTTTCTAATATAAAAAGAACGGAATAAAAACGGCTTAATATAAAAAAACGGAAAAATAAATATTGATTGATTGATTTGCACATTTCACGTCGCACTAGAGCTGCACAATGGGCTATTGGCGACGGTCTGGGAAACATCCCGGAGGATGATCCGAAGACATGGCATCGCAATTTTGATCCTCTGTGGAGGGCATGATACCCCCGCTTAGGTAGCCCGACAACCTGCGCGCGAAGTCGAGCACTTTACGGTAACACAGTTTAACGAGGACCAATACCGCACACCCTCTGTCCCTACGCAGACTGATCCAAGTGGTCACCCACCCGCACACTGACCGCAGTCAGTGATGCTTGACTTCGGTGATCTGCTGGGAACCGTGTCTTAGCGATCAGTCCACTGCGGGACGGAAAAATAAATACATAATGCGAAATGTATGCTGTTAGTGTTTCTTCAAGTTTAATAACAGTAAAACAATTTGTACCAAATTTATTAATCTAATGTATGTGATGAAATCTTAAATATATGTTATTAAGATTAGGGTTTAAGCCGTGTAATCTCTTGTAAGGAAGGGAAAGAAATCTGCTTGTTAAAAGTAATAAAACTGGTTAAGTTCTAAACGTTTTAAATCTTAAGAATTTAGACGTAAACCAAACTATTGCATTCAAAATATCTAAAAATATGAGGAAATTAATGCATAAAATTAAATGTAAAAAGATCAAAAAATAAATATATTATTATTTGTAAAACTGTGTTGTTAGTGTTTCTTTAAATTTAAAAAAAGTTAAATAATTTGCACAAAATTTCTTAATCTTATGTATCTATAAATTTAATTTTTTTGTAGACAGAAAGGACACACTCATCTATGAAACTACAAAAAGAAAGAGCTTAATTGCTAGTTCATGTATGCATTTTTCCAAAATATATTTTATTTATCTAGGAACTACCTAATTCTCGTCAAAATGTTTAGAAATCAACGAATCCTTAAAAGTATGCTATCATTTTACTTAGGTGGTAAAGTAAGAAGATTAGGGGGTAAATCGTAAAGTCTCTTGGGGAAAAAAAGGAAAGAAATCTGAACAGAAAAGAGTTTATATTTACTAGAGAGGAAATCTGTAGTTGCATGAATGGCCGTCCGATTGGCGGGATTTGATGGGAGGTAGGAAGAGGTGGAGCGCTATTGATCACAGCCATCCTCGGCATCCCAACTCACTCTTTCCTCAGCTTCCTACACCTTTGCATCCCACCGTACCTAGTGCACGTGTATGCCGATAAGTCCGAAAAATCGGCAATGGGACCTGGCACCCAGCTTGTCAGGATAGTGATCGGATTTGCTCACCGAATTGATCAATTTTTTCTCTCTGTCAATGATTGCTTTTATAAAAATTTTCTACGAAAGTTTTAAATTAGTTAGAAAAAGTATGTTTCATAGTTGATTAAGAAATGATAAAGTTTAATATTTGACGAATTCCAGAAATTGTTAGAAAATTTTATATTTATATATAAAATGGCATTTTGAATTGAAGATTATATCATGAGAAGTGCCTGGATCTTATATTTGGAAATTTAAATTTACAATTGTTAAAAAAAAGATTTGGGAACAAAAGCGATTGCGTTATGCATTCTCGCTGATGATCGGATCAATTTTTTCACGGAGATTAAAAAATTAAAGACGAGCTTCTAAAATTAATATACAAGAGCTAACGACCAAAATATACCATTTATATTAAAAATTAAATTTAGAAAAATTTAAAATATTCTATAGTTTATTCCTGAAGTATTTTAAATAGAAGTTTTCGAGAAATATATCTTAAAAAAAGTCGCGAAATATTATAACGGTAGTACCACTTAGTGATAATTAGTTTGAATTAAAAATTGAACTTAGAAAAATTTAAAATATTCTATAGTTTATTCCTGAAGTATTTTAAATAGAAGTTTTCGAGAAATATATCTTAAAAATGGCACGAAGTATTAAAACAGTACCTCTTAGCGAGTTATGTCGTCGAGTGCCAGATACTGAAATAGCAACCACATCATTCAGTTCTCATGATCTAATACCATCCTGTTCTTACGAAACGGAACCAGAAGTAGTCCGGCTGAAATGCCGCCGGCGAAGTTTACCCGGGTATCCAACTGATGATTCTCTGCTTTATTCTGTATTGCAGAGGTTGCCCATGAAAGACTTTGCTGCCGAAGTCCGAGCGTCTATGGATGTAGATCAATTTCTCAACCAGGCTGTACTTCTTTTGGACGTGCAAGAGACTTCCGTAGAAGGAATTATAGACAAAATGCTTCATAAGGTAAGGCAGTCTTTGCATTTATTTACATAAAAATCGTTTATTTCATGTTTGAATAATGAATTATGAAGTATCAGAAGTGAATTTTATGAATGGGAATTTTCAATAAATTATTATTTTCAATAAATTTTTAATAAATTTTAATATTATTTCTTCGTAAATTTAATTAATATATTTTTTTAAAAATTTGCCCCTATTTAAATAAATTTATTCAACATTTAAATATATTGAATTTTGAAGCTATTAATTAAACTTAAACTAGTTCATTTATAAAAATATAGAATATGTACTGTTCTGTACCTATGCGCGTAGTACATGTACTGTTCTGTGCCTATAACATTACCTGAATGTATTTCATAAAATTTAGTTCCTAAATGAATTATAACTTTAAATAATCTTGGTTTAAAATTAGAAGTGCTAAACTGTATAATACTTGCTCTATTTCTAACGAAAACTGATATCCTTTTATGTTCAAAAACAAATCTTAAGCAGTTGAATTCTCGAATTTCGGGTCATTACATCTTCTTTAATAAAAATGGAGTTTGCATACGTGATTTATTAGTTTGTTTTGGATTTTTCTTCAGAAACTAGTTTGAAAACTACAGTATATTAGTTTTTTAATAATGTACAAATTTTGAACAAAGCTTTGAAAAGCGTATAGGATTTGTCACATTAAATATTAGTCTATATTGTTCTATGATCATGTAAAAAAGATATTATGATTTAGGAAGCATTACGTTTTTCTTAATTGTTTTTTGTAGCTATTGTTTTAACATTAGTTTTCCAAAGTTTTCATTTCCTAAGAAAATCCATAAAATGATGGGGTATGATAAAGGGAATGCAGTGAATGTTATATGAGTAAACTTTCGAACAGTTAAAACGTTTCAATTTAATTATACACTTTTTACACTTTTTTTTACATATTCTGAGATTAAAAACATTGGAGTCAAACACTTGAAAATCTTGATTTGCGTTTATTATTTTTCAACTAATTTCAATCAACGTTTCATGTATTATTCTTATCTAAGAAACATCGCTGGAAGTTCCGGAGTGTTTACCATAATTTTAAGAATTCTTCTAAAAGTAAAGTGAAAATCAATGCATACACGATTAAAAGAAATTTGATAAAACAACCGTACAGTAAGGTAATAACAGTTTTGGTGAAAATGTAATTCTAGTAAATAAAACCAAAATATATGGTGTTTAAACAATTGATTTTGTAATTTTCCCGTTCATATGGTAATGGTTTACAAAAACACTCTGGATTTCAGAATTATAGTTCTTATTATCTCAAATTTAGTGAAAAATATAAAACTGAAAAGCAAATTTAACCGAATAAATTATATTTATACCTTGCTCCAAATTACCAAATTTTTTCCACATTTTTCCACAATTACCAAACTTTATCACTAGAGCCCGGATTTTGATGACCTAAAAAATCTTAACTAATGCCCTTAAAAAGTGCAAAAAATGCCCTAAAAAAGGGCAAAAAATGCCCTTAAAAATGCAAAAATTGCTCAAAAAATGCCTTAAATAAAGCAAAAATATTGAATTAAAAAAATGTTTTGCTTTTATTATGAGTCATTTAAAAAATTTAAAGCAATGCAATACTTGTTCTACGTTCATTAAAGTTTGAAAAATATGTTTTATATCCTAAAATAACAAAAAAAAGGAAAATATATTGACACCAAAATATTTTTATTTTGTATAGAAACTTTAATGGATATAACAACTTCCATCTCATAATATTACTAAATATCAGAATTACATTGGATTATTAAATGTTTTTTGATAATTTGAAATGTAAACGAGCGTCTCTTGTCTGAAAGTAAATTTTCATTCCTGCAGAAGCTTTTTTCAACGTCTACTGATGTTATAGGTGCGTACTTGAAAAAGACGGTCTCACTTACTGACAATTCTTCTTCAATTTGAAAAGATTTTGGTTCACCTGTTAATATCCTATAGATTTTCTTCATTGTTTGGAAGCCAGTGTAATAATGAAAATTGATAAAAAATAATAAAAATTGGAAAAAATTAACAAAAAACTTTAAAAAATGCATTAAAATGCAACATATGCCCCAAAATTTAAAGAAAAATGCCCTATAAATCTAAAAAAATGCTCTAAAAGACAAAAAATGTCCAAAAATGCAAAAAATGCAAATGTCATCAAAATCCGGGCCTTATTTATCACACATTATGAAACCTATTTAACTGCTTATTTTGCCAAAATCATCACCAAAGTGATTTTGGTGTTCTCATAGAGCTAAAAACACAATAAATTTTACTCTATCTAGTAGTTTCAACGCCCTTTTTTTCAGTGCATTAAAAGAATTTTAAACATTTGCTAAAAATATTTTTAAATATATATGAATTTGATCCAGAATTACGGGACCTACCACGGGATGTTAGACCCGTGTACGCATGTTAGACTTATACTACGTCGATACTTTTATATCTACAATAAATTCTAACCATCGCATAAATCTAATAGCATAAATTATATTATTATTGCAGTATAATTAAAGTATTAAAAATCCTTATTTGTCATTATTTGGTATCTGTTAGAATATCATTATGAATCAATTTATCTTCCCATGCATTGTTTGACATAATTAGAGACATGATTAAAAATGCAAGAAAAACGTAAAACTCGTGTTAAATTTCAGTTACAATCATGCTCTCATAATTGCATTTATAAAACATTTGTTGAGTACAAATTCATAATTTTTAAAATAGTCCAAAAATTCATGAATACATAATTTAAAATTTTAATAAACTTTTTCTTCTCAACTTAGAAAGTAATTTTAGAATTTGTCCTAAGAAAAGAAAGTTTTTTAACCCACTGATTCATATAGATCTTTAAAACGTGAGCAGTTTAAATAATTTGGATAAAAACTTATGTTTTTATTATTCTAATCTTACGGTGAGCTTACACGCCATAAGTAAAAAAGGAAGAGAATTCATACACTGTAAAAATCCCGTTATACGCCAGTTTGGGTGCATAATCCGTAAAATCCAATTGCCGTTTCGCTTTTTTCAGTAATATTTATTGAACTAGAGTGATTCAGGGATTTTTCTGTAATTATTACTCTAATAGTTACGGTATATTACTCTAATAGTTACGGTATTATTACTCTAATAGTTACGGTTTCTTACTGGTGATCCTGATCACAACCTCTGAATTGGTCGCGGGATCATATTTTGTTAAATAAATCCCATTCTCTTAAAAAAGTGTTGTTATTTACTTCTGAATTTAAGTGCAGTATCATCACTCAAAGGGTTTAGAAGGTTTTTTCCCAACAAAATTTACTGCTTTAAAAATATATATATATATATGTTATGAACCAATTTATTCTGAGCAATTTGACACTAAATACTAGATAATACTCAAAAGACTTCTATCTACGGAAAAAAGTACTGTTACCCTCTCACTGAAAATAAAAATGACATACCCATTTTCTAAACTGCAATTTGCAAACTCGAATATTCCGTTCAAAGCTATTTATTCCAAATTTTGGCTTTAAATCCGTTTTTCTCAATTTAATTTGTTTTCATATTCCGTGTAAGATTTTTTCACTTTTAATAATACTTTCATCTTAAGACTTGGTAATTGTTTTGAGTATAGCATCTTGCTTAAAATTCATATTGGCACTTGAATATTGATAAATATTGTTTATTTCTTTAAGTTTATTGTTTGTTTAATTCTATGCTATAAAAATTAAAAAAAGATTTTTTTTTTAATTTAGGAAATAATTTTTGCTTTTAAATTTCTTTGAAATAGTATGGCATTAAAAATCATATTTAGATGCCTATTAAAAGTTGTTTGAAGTCACTAACATGATTTTTATGACTTTTATCATTCGTGCGATGCGTCATAATATCTTTTCGTTTTCATATTTTGGTTTTAAACAAAATTAAGTTATAAAAGTTCTTTGCATTTTTTAAAAAGTGTTTGTATTTAAACAATGCCTGTACATTTGTTAAAATTCGGCAACAAATTGAAAATCTTAGGTTAAATTTTAAATATGTTATAAAAAGTCGGAAAAAGTTATGTATTAATGTATTTTCGATGAAATCAAAACTATTCGGACTCCCTGCATTATTATCTTAATTACTGACACACGAGTCTTAACACCTTAACTATTTTCAAAACTACTAGATTTCTGAAATTAATTTTAGACCTGATTTTACAGGGAAGTCACTTTGATTTGGCAATAATATATTCTACTAAAAATATGCGATTGTTTTTCATCGTAACTCATCGTTGCAACATCTGCTCTCTTTTTTTCTTAATAAATTTAATTTTTGAAAACTGAAAGATAAGGTTAATCTCCTTTTTTTGGAGATGTATACATTGTAAAATATTCTTACGAATTTTTTCAACTAAAATTTTGCTAAATTTTTCTATCTCGCAAACAGTTTATTCCTTTTAACTTCTGAAAGAATATATTATTTTTCAAGATAAAATGAGATAAAATATCGAAATATATTTTTCAAAAAATATTTATATATTGATTACTTTGCTATTCATGCTATATAAATTTCCCTCCAAGTATTTAAATCATTCATAATTTTTGAAACAATTAATTTTATCAATTAAACAATAATTTAAGGAATACAAGATGTTATTTCTCAAATTTAATAACGTGTTACAGTTTATTGTTGTGTTGAGCTTCATAACAACTTTGAAATATTGTTGAATTGCATTAAACTTTGAATATATTGCATGTATAATATTAAATTATTGAATAGAAGAACGTGGAACCTTAAAAATCATCAGATTTCAGAAAATAATATTTTTGTGTAATAGATAAAAAAAAGCTTTACCACTTAATAATGACATTTTTCTCATCAAAATTGATTTTAAATATGTTAATAATTATATTGGCTGTTTTGTATTGATTTGCACAAAATTAGTCTGACGTAGCAATAAGTTCTTTCTATTTACTTTTTTTAACCTTGATCCTCATTTCTCAAATTTTTATTAATCTTACTAAATGTAT